GCCACAGTTAGAATGTCTCCTCGTCACCCCATGAGAGCAAATGGCTATTCCCAGGCCTCTTTACATCCTTCTGTGCATCCGTGTATCGTGTCTGACAGGAGTCAGATGTTCTGCCTTCTCCTCTGCACTGTGAACTCCCGGAGGAGCTGAGGCCAGTTCTGTCTAGGTCAGCCATGGGCAAACTACGGCCCGCGGGCCGGATCCGGCCCGTTCGGCTGTTCTATCCGGCCCGCGGAGCCGAAAGAGCGGAGGGTTCTCTTGCTCTCCCCTCCGCTCCTTCACCAGCAGCAGTGTTAACATGTATTAGTTCACACCAACACTCCATCCATGCTGTTGTTCCGGCCCTCCGGTCCAGTTTAAGAACCCATTGTGGCCCTCGAGTCAAAAAGTTTGCCCACCCCTGGTCTAGGTTCTCTAAGCCCAGGCCCTACAACAAGGAAGGCGGCATACATCACACGGGTTGGTTGGGGGTCAGGCTCCATTGACAGGAAGATGAGTAGAGACAAAAGAAAGACTAAATTCTCTCTTTCTTTTCAAACTGCATTTACTCTCTTTAGTAAGCCTCACAAGGCTATTTGCTTAACAATAAGAAGCGCAGATTTCAATTTGGCATATGCAGTGTCTCTAAGCCATGCTCTAATGGTGCCGGAGGACCACAGCTTAACAAAGTGCAATACAGAGCGAGCCCTGTTTCCTCCCATCACACACAACACACTCCTCCCCGGCCTTGGGCACATACACAGCAGATGTTGTTATCTGGTGTGGATAATCCACTTCCTCGTCTTCAGCAACCTATCTTTCTTCTCCATTCTGGATTGTTTGCTTTCTGTAGATATGGCCACCAGTGGCTATTCTTTGCTGGTGATCATCTATAGGTAAAATAAAAACGTTTTGTTCCCTCTCGCCCCTCCCCCCCCTGAATGCACTATAAATCTGAATATTCTATAATGAGGGATTTTTCTCTCCTTGGTGTAAATGTGAACTTGTCAGTCTAAAGATACTGTAGGTTTTCATAAAGAAATGCTTGGGTGTGATGGGTCCTTAAGCGACTTCCGTCACTAATACCTGGACCCCCCTGAGCTATATAGTTTGTGTATCTACAGACTACATCGCCACCTCCCTCCATGTGACGCCCTGTGGTGAATGAGATGCTGTGTGTGCGGGCATATGAGAAAACCAAACTATAAAATGTGTATAAGGGCAAGCTGATTGTAACAGTTAATTGATGATTTTTAAAAAATTGTCTCTATTTTTCTTTTTATCTTTTTTCTGCACTTATAAAACATGGGGTCATTGATACTACTTTATTGGCATTATTTAGTGATCAATATAAACAATTTTGTGTGTATGTTCCTTAAAAAAAATGGAGCACTTAAAAGTTCAGAAATAGAAAGCAACAGCTACTTTCCCTCCCCCTGTGCAGCCTTTTTATAGCTTAAGTTCTGGAATGAGCATCCGAGATGCTGGGAGATGGTTCTCTTCAGGGGCACAGAGCTGGCCTGGGGGTGAGGGTGGTGGACCGGCTCTTGTTCCTAACGTTCCACGCTGGCTTAATTGCAGAAGTTCTCCCCAATCAGAAATTGATAGCAGCGATGCCTCTAAACAATGCATAACATTACTAACTGTCCATGATCCACATAGAGTGTCTGCTTGTCGAGAAGGACAGACTTTTCCTTTTTGCCTGTATCCTCCCTCATCCTTAAACACTGGGTGAGGCAGCGACCAGGCACTGATGCCCGCAGCTAGCCATAAGGAGGCCCAGGAGGTGACGATGAGGAAAAGGACCAAGCAGTTGCCAGCTGACATCAGGTTTCCCAAATTGGCCAATCACAGGTGAGAAGTGCCCGCCAGTGCTGTTTGAGATTGTGCCAGGGCCTGTGTTCACTCCCTTCAACACTGAACTCGGCGTTTTGTCCTTGAACAACGTGGGTACAACACGTGAACAGACACACGGCTTCCGTCTGGGTGGTGATTCAGAAAACCATCCTCTCTGCTGGCTACAGGGTCCCACCACCGGACACCTGGTGGGTTCACACTGCCACTTGCATACTTTCCAAGAATTATGTGCAACTTCAGAATCAGCCGCCACGGAGCCTTATAAATCGTGTATGAAAGGAATAGAGGGGATCTTCCCAACTGAGAGAAAACCGTTTTTGGAAAACATTTTGTTGTTAGTTCACAGTATTTATTGCCCACTCCACAATGTAAGCCACTGTTTAGAGGCTATAAAAGGAATACTCCAAGAAATGGGTCCCATGCTCTCATGAGAGACTGTGTTTTCAGTCAGTGGAGAGTGCTAAGAACAAAAGCTATCTATCTGTACAATAAGGAAGGTCTCCTTCTCCTGTTTACCATCGCTAGGCGATGGCTCAGACCTTTCGCGACGATGGCAATGTCCTGTATCTTTGCTGTCTAACTTGGTAGTTACTAATATGTGTGTCCACTGAGCAGTCGGAATGTGGCTAGTGCAACTGAGAAACGCAAGTTTTCATTTTATTTAATTCCAATGAATTGAAATTTAAACAGCCAAGTGTGACTAGTGCCTACCATGTAAGCTGAGAAGCTATAGCTCGGTTGGTAATATTCATAACTAGAAGAGTAGCAGCTAATTATTGAGCATTGTATTATGCATTATATGCACTAATTTATTTTTTAAAGTATATTTTTATTTATTTCAGAAAGGAAGGGAGAGGGAGAGAGAGATAGAAATATCCAGCAGGGGGTGTGCAGGAGGCAGCTGATCAATGTTTCTCTCTCATCGATGTTTCTATCACTCTCCTTTCCTCTCTGTGAAAAATCAATGAAATATATATATAAAAGAAACATCAATAATGAGAGAGAATCATTGATTGGCTGCCTCCTGCATGTCCCCCACTGGGAATTAAGCCTGCAACCCGGGCATGTGTCCTGATCGGGAACCATGACCTCCTGGTTCATAGGTCTACACTTAACCACTGAACCGCACCAACCGGGCTATATGCACTAATTTTATCCTAATGAACAACTCTCGGAGGTAATTACTAATATTATACCCACTTTACAGATGAGGCAACTGATGCACAGAGAGTTAGCACTGAGCCCACATGACAATCTAGAGCAGGGCAAAGTTGGATTTAGCACCTCAGAGTAAGGGCCCTAGCACCCTCAGTTTTAACCTGTGCACCAGCCTGCCTCTCCATAAGATGACGGTGAATTTATTAACCACAGGACATGGCAGCACGGGCAATCTCAGCCCTGCTCACTACCTGATTGGGCAGAAAGGCATGAAAACCATCAAAACATGAAAAACGATTTAAAAATAGTACACTCTTTGAGGACTTCAGGGCTAACTAAATTCAGAGTTGCCCTACTGAGTCTCTTGGCATAATTGCATAAGGATGTGTCAACTCCCTTTGCCTACACATCCTGTGGCCCACTGAGCTCAGGAAAAAAGAAATATTCCCCCGTTTTCTATTCCATGTTGTCATGGAGATGCAGCCTCAAACAAAGATGGTGCTGTTTTCCGCTCCAGTAATAGAGTTCGGCAATTAGCATCATCTTTATTTAGTCTGCAACACCAGTCTGGAAGATCTCTTGAGAGAAGACCTTGAAATAGCTGCCCACAGTGCTAGCAGGCAGACAGAGAGGACTTCCTGGAAACGTGGTGAATGCCGCCGGTGCGATAAACCTGAAAACACTTTAAAAAATCAGTCTGTTTAATATCCTGAAAAATGCTCTGCTGTGTGATCGCCATCACATCAACACCATATGTGGGTGTTGATTATCAGGCAGGATTGTCAACAAAAGTTCCCGAACCTGGATGTGCATCGGAATCCCTGGGGAAGAGTGTTCAGCACGCGTGACATTTTGATGAGCATCAGGGTGGGGAACAAAGGGTTTAAATTCGACCAAAGTATAAACTCAAGTGCATTTCAGATGTCTTCTTGGAACATTTCTGGCCATAAATCGGATTTTGAAATTGGCCCTTGGTGTTTCCTTACATATCTGGTACTAACAGGTGCTAGTAATTGAATGTAAAGTCGCCAGGATGGCAACCGTGTTGCTGTCTGAGGCCTGCCGTCAGGGAATACGCGGTGTTATGAAATTCGATGAAAGCTGAGTGCGTCTCAGTGTGGTTTCCTGAGTGGCTCCTCTGAGAGCACAGCAACATTTTGGCTTTAAGACACCGTTGCTCTAAAACAGGGTCAATACTAAACAGGTTGAAGACTAGACAGGAGAGGTATTGATATTTCAATTGGAAAATCCTGCAGGTTTTTTCAGACGAAAAATCAGAGGCAGACAGATTATTGACACGCACACTTTATTGCGGATGGTACAGAAGGAGAATGGGTACAAGAGATGGCAGGGCAGAGGATCAGACTGGAATCTCCAAATTCTTTCCTAGAGGGAACACAAGCAGAAACATCCAGTTAATTTAGGGGACACCATGGCAACACTGCTGCCTACCATCCGAACACCCCCCGGCCGAACTCTGGTCTGAGAGCTGTGCTTTCTGTTGTCCTCACAACCACCATGTTACCCACCGAGTGCCCCGAGGCACAGGGAGGTGTCAGCATTCAGCCTGCGTGGCCTAAACCATAGTCCCACACGCTGATCCCCTACTCCACTTTGTTCTCCTTTATGTGGGTGTCAGGTAGGAGCCCTGTTACGGCTACTGTCCCTGCTATTGATCCAGAATAGACTAAGAATTCAGTACTCAGGAGGAGACTGGCTTTCTCAGGGGTGCATCCAGGGTAGGGACTGCTCCCCCTTTTGGTGGCATTGACGTCATGATTAAAGCCCCAAGAAAAGGTTCCAGTGGGCCAAGGTCTCAAGACTTGTTTCAGTATAATGTTTCCTTATTTTGGAATATCAAGAGGACATTGCTGATACGTGATGAGGACCCCCCAGGACTAAGCCCATACTGGAAACGGGGCAAGGTCTGTTCCATTCATTGAATGCATCGGCGGGCTGGGTAGCAGAGCCTCCCTGGGATGCTTAGAAGGGTGCAAAAACGGTAACTTGCCTGGGACAATCGCCTGACTGAAGGCCAGTGCAGATGGTCAGTGCGGTTGCACTTTTTCACCTGAATGGAAACAACAGCTCAAGTCTCAGTCTGGACTTTGGCAAACCCCGGGAAATGCAAATGCAAATGAAATTTGCAAACATGACAAGAATGAGGAAAAGAGGAATTAAGTTCCCAGAACAAAAACCTAGCATTTTTCATGCTAATCCTAGGTGGCCAGCTTAATCAAATTTTTTAGCTAACACAGATGATAATGAGCCTTGTGGCCAGTGTCTTTCTACAGCCTGGCTATGATGAAGGATGAGAGAGAAGAAACGGGCGATGAAGCTGTGGTAGGGATTAGCTTTCCACATTTGTGGGAGAGGAAAATGTCCATTTTTAATTGCTACCAAGTCCTCTTTTGGATCTGTCCTTTGCTTAGGTTTCCACGCCAAACCCCATCACCGTATGCAGAGGTGGCATCTGCTTAGAGCCGTCAGTACGTGACACTTTGTGATTTTAACTGTGAACAGGCTGCGCTCAGCCCTGGATGACCTGTAGGTTTTGATTATGTTATTCAGTGGATTGCAATGACTTCTCAAGAGTTCAGCATTTCCAGCTCTAGAAGGCCAGGTTCTCAGAGGCAGGAACTATACTCTTTAATTTTCAAACGATCAAAAGAATCCAAGAGTAGGTGAAATAGCATCAAGTAGTCTCATCATTTGCGGTATCATTAAGAGGAAAAAAAAAAAGGAAAAAGAGGCCACGTCTCTCATTCCAAATGGCCCTGAAATCAGATTGTGATTTTCAACTCGAAGCCCTGGAGGGCCTCGCTCATCTTCAGGAATCAACTGAAGAGAACAACAAACAAATGCTGATTAGATGGATGATGCAGACGGAAACGTTTTGTTCAGTTCCGCTCAGAAAGACATATTGGGAAGGATTCTGGCCAGAGGACCCGAGTGCAGGCATCTACTGGGCCCCACATTGGCGTGTGCCTGGCATCTTGCTTCACAACTCTGAGCAGGTGCCCCCTATGTGGAGTGGGGACAATGAGATTTGTCTCCACGGATGGCTGAGCACTTCGTAAGGCTGTAGCAATAGGGATGATTCGGTGCAATTATCATCATGGTAATTGATATTGTTGTTGTTGTTATTAAATTTCTGTAAAGAACTGTGCCAGGTCCTTTGAAGACGGAGATGAATGAGCCCGGCCCTCCGTGGAGTTCTCCTTTTGAAATAAGCTTGAAAAACACCAAACTTCAAAGTATCAAGGAAGATCTCTGAGAGGTTTTGTTAATTGATGTTGTTGCAGTATCCTGGTCTCCAAAGGAAACCTAATGTGTTTTCCCAAGCAAAGATTAAGGGACTCTATTGCACTCGGTCATTTTTCTATCACTCAAGACATATCCCAGAGCTGTTATTTGTACTTAAAATGCTCTTCGGCGTGCCAGCCGGCCTGAAGTTACCTGTCGAAGTTAATCACATGGAGTGGTTCATATATCAGGGGGTATGAGCCTAGCTGTCCCGCAGCAGCCTGGCTGAGTGACGGATGGCCTGGCCTGTCAATTCCACCAAGACAAAAGCTATTAATGAGCCATCACAGGACCACAGTGAGCCATCTCAAGAACAGGGCTGGTTGTGCCGCCAGAAGAAAGGCTGCCTGACTTCCTGGGCAATCTAGATGTCACCCCCTCTCAACTCTGATGGCTTATGGTAGACAAAAATGCACCCACCCATAAAAGAGGAGAAAGGAAAGCCAATTAAAACAGAGACAAGCAGGGACTAACGGTGCTACACACAGCCCTTTGTAAAGGAGGGCTTTCGTTTATGAGTTCCCACGCCACCTCTGTGGTATCCCAGCGAGGAAATTTGCTCCCACCTCATCCAAGAGGAAACTGAAGATCAGGGAGAAAGGGACTCGGAGCCCCGTGAGGCGAGTAAGCTATGCTACCCCAAGCATCAGAGTCAGGGTTAGGACCCCGATCCAGTTTTCCTTATACGTGGTCAGAGGGAAAAACAAAAACAAAAAACAGGACACACAAGGTCATGGCTGATACTTGGACCAACACTTACAGCAAGGGGATTGCTGATTCCTGTCATGTTCTTCTAAGAGCTTGGGTCGGCTCAGCAAGATCAGGCTTTGGAGACGTGTCCTCAGGCCTCTTGATGCAAGCTGGGGTCCTCTGAGGTCACCCTGAGAGAGGGCAGAGACATAGAGGTAATTCAAACCTAATTTTAAACTTGAAAAGAAAAAAAATGAGAATATTCATGTGGATCATTAAGAGAAATAATGATTACCTTTGATTCCTAGAGACAGTTATTTTAAAATGCATCCAAGCTCCATTGCACAGCCAAGAATAAAAAATAAATAAAAAAAAAAACAAGAAAGAAAGGAAAACAAATCCTCGAAGCTGAGCCATGTCCTTAGAAGGCAGAAACAAGTCACCATCACTTGAGTCCAGAGAAGATGCTCATTCACAGTAATTGGGAGGAGGAAGATTGTAGAGATTAACTGACCTTGGTTTAGGACACACACTGTTTCTTTACAAATGCAAATGATGTCTGGGGCCTACAAGACAAAATCTGTCTTTAATGCCAGTCTCTAAGAAAATGCATTAATAATAATAATAATAAAGAAAAACACCTATTGATTGTTTATGTTTTTACCAAAGTAGATGCTAGTAGATGCTATAGCTATTTAAAACAAGTACTTAGGATCCAATTCTACTGGTAACTTTGAAGTCCAGGTGCCCTTTGAAAGAAAAATGGTGTAGATATCCGTGGTCCATAACAGGAAAGAAATAGAAATAACACTTGATTGGTTTTATACGTGGGGTTCACTCATCAAAGGTACATCAACTCCACACCTGCAGATGCAGCCCTGCCTGGCTGGTTGAAAGTTGCACATAAAGGCAACAGCACAGGGATGATATTTGTGACATCAGGGCTAAGTGCTGCCTTCCCAGGGCAGCGTGTATGACCTTAGAGGTCTGATCTGGGAGAACACAATTCTACTTGCTGAAGCTATAGACTTAGCATTTTCTCCTTCTTAATAAATGCCCACTCTTAGATATTTACTGGGTATGTACTACGTCCAAGGTAAGGCTAGGAGCCTGTGGTATGTTAGGTTTCGTACTCCGTTCCGAGCTCATTTTCTAAGATTTGCCAGGCCCCATGCTAAAGATGATGCAGTCCCACTATGCCCAGGCTGCTTCCCCTGTGAGATGCCTTGAACTATCTGCCTGAACACCTAATGCCTCAGCCTCACAGATCGCTTTCTAGGCCTGGGGCACCATATTCTTTTGTTCTCCAGGTTCTTTCTGCAAATTTGTGTCCTGTGTTGAGTGTCCTTTCTTTGCCGCTGCCTGGAGTCTTTCTTCTTTTAAGACCAGCTCCAACCACACCTCCTGGTGATGCTCTGCTCACATAGCTCAGCCTCACTCGCATAGGCCTCTCCTAAGGGCCCCTGTCATTCTGAATTATAACTGCTTACCTTGAAGTCTTCCATCAGATATGGGCTACCTGAGGGTACTGTCCGCTTCTGTCCCCAGTTCCTAGTCAGTTCAGGGCTGACCCAGAGGAACAGTGCTCAACAAATGTTTCTTTGACCCAATTTAAGATTATTCACTGTGTTAAAAGTTATTTGGTCATTGACATCATATATCTCCCAGTGAGAATGAGTAGCAATAATGTTCTTGTATTTTTTTTTCAAGTTCATCTTGCCTTTTATGTTTACGTTCATTTTATATTCTTTTCCATCCAGTTATTCATTATAATGGTTTATAGTAAATAAAACTCTCCCACCCAAAAGAACCAACCAAAGAAACAAAAACAACTTGACACAGTTTTTGTGTCTTTGGGATATGGTGTATGTGTGTGTGTGTGTTTCTTTTATGTTACAAACTAGTAGGAATCCTGGCCACATGCACTTTCATCCTATTCTTTATGTTCAGCTGAAGTGGAAGAAGAGAGATGGCAAATATTAATTGGTTTTTGAGGCTGCTGAGACTGTAAACCCCAATGAGAGAAATGATGGCATTTCACAGAGCTCTTAGGCAGAAAGATATGCCGAAAAGATTTATAGCTGCATTTATTTCTAAGGTGATTTCATGTCAAAGGTCAGGTGACATATATTCTTTGCTATGCTTCACTTACAGAGTCTCAGAATGGATTTTAAATTGAGGGAGTCTCCAGTTACCTCAGAAACACCACAGTGAATGTTAAGGAGGAGAGAGAGTCTAGACATAACAGAAAAGTTGGATGTCCAGTTCCCAAAATGCAGAAATGTGAAATGACCCCCTTATAGTAATTATAGAAAATAAGAGAGTATTAATGTTTTATAATCCATTTAATAAATGAATGAAATGCCAACACTAGTATAACCAGTGTACTTGCATGGAAGAACATACCTTGTAAAAAAATACTCAGGGCTAATAAATGTCCATATTTGCTGAATTAAACAAAGTTTTAAAAATCAGAACACCATCCTCTGGCTTGAAAATTTACCTCCTAACAAAACAATCCGTTTCCTGACCTGGTGATGAAGCCAGATTAATTGGGCTTTTTTTTCTTTAATTGCATTTTAAAATAAATGTCACTAGATTGATAACACTCTGCAGAGTTTTCAAATGTAGAAAAACATTGGGACAAAAGATGCAGGCAGTGCTGCTCCCGCTGCTGCCAGGCCCAGAGTGCGTGTCGAAGGCGGGTGCAGTGTATGGGGTGCGTTTTCCAGCCGCGTGGGGTTCTGCTCCATCTCAGTCTGAACCTGCTTCTTCCCAACCCCAACAAGCAGGCGTGGGTTTGCTCTGTAGAGGGCGCCTTTGCTGGGGCGTTGAGGCCGCAACAGAAGTCTTATTAACACAGTTCTATGGAAGTTCACTTTGAACCTCTAGGTTTTTCTTGCCTGTGTTGTCTCCCTGAAAACAACCGCCTAGAAACGGATTTGAACACATAACCTGAAGCTTCTTTCATGGTGCGCCGAGCTTTCCGGCCTGACTGTAAGCCATACAAGGTGATACCCTCCCTTCTTGGAACAAACTTAACTTAGATTAGCTTCCACTCCCCATCGTTTTTAAGTAGCTATGTTCATGTTTATCATTAATTTGTAAAGCCACCTCTAAATGGGCAGAAAAGGGAACACCTATTCAATATCCTTGAAACAAGACAATTCTAGCGAAAAAGTTTACTTCTAAATAGCACATCCTAAAAATACATATTTTTTACTGAAAGATTGACTGGGGACCACTTTCATCTTGCACCCTTTCAACCAAAAGGCATCAACTTAGAATGGAGCTAGCGAGAATTTTTAATGGATTGAGATTAAATCTACCATTTTTACCCAGGGAACATTCTTTCTCATTTATTCTGAGGCAGTCTCCTGGAAAAGGACTATTTAAGTGATGAGCTCAGTGTTTTGACAAGCATTTGTACTGCAAAAACTTGAAATCTCACTGGAATACAGTTATACAGTCACTGGGAGAAGAGAATGCCCTATTTAAAAACTAGGACAGATCGTGTTGATATGGAGAAAGTAAAGAACCCTGTGAACAATATGTCTGAAATTAAAGACCGAGTCGCTCGCATCCATCTAAAATCAACAGAAAATATAATTACTCTTTGGAAGTACTCTTGTCTTAGAGTGCTAAATGGATTCAAAAGAGCAAGATATTGTTTGTACTTAGTATACCATTACAGGAACAAAGATGGAAGAAGCAGCAATGATCTGATAAAAGTTCCACATTAGCCACGTAGAAAAGAGAGACTAGCCACATCCTGAACCAATATTTCCCTTTCCTATGGTATGACACACCTCTCTCTCTCTCTCTCTCTCTCTCCCTCTCTCTCTCTCTCTCTCTCGATCCCTCTAGAAATAGGTCTCTATTTTATAAGCATAATAGGAGGTTTAGAGGAAATCAAAAGAAACCCTTTTATTCAAAGCCACCACATGCTTTTAATAACTTTACTCCATGTCTTCTGTTTATTTTCCCTCCGTTTGGAATACCCTGCCTCCAGCTGGACTTGCAAGTGTTGTTTTCCACTATGTTATAGTATCGCTTAGGCTGAAGGAGGGAGGTAATAAGACGACCACTAATATTCTTCCATAGTGATATGTAAGCATCAATGGTGAATTAGTTAGTATTCTTATGGCAGTTGGTCCCATGTCCAATTCACACATTACACTATTTGCTGTGTTTTTAAAGCTATTAGTTTGAATACCCTTTATATTTATTGGTGATTCTTGGGTCTGGCTAACGTTGAAATGCATTTTTAGAGTCCTGTGCTCTTTTATTGGGCCTCTCCCAGCTCTGTGAAATGACTGAAGTTGGTTCAGTGTTTCTCCAAGGCAGAACTAGGAGCCACAAATCATCTTCAACACATTATCAAGCGCAGCCAGCAAACCCCTTTTCATTTTTTTTTTTTGCTGCAAAGAACAAACCAAGACCATTTGGGATTTAAGGTGGTAGGGACATTCATTGTTTTTTTTTGAATGAATACATCTCTAGGAAGGTGAACATTTCTTTGAATGTATTTAATAAAAATAAACCAGAACAAACAGTTTTACTAGGCTTGTAAAATATCACCCCTTTCTCCCTGTAAGTTTTCAAAATTGCCTTCTAAAACTAGACTGTGAAAAAATACATTTTCAAAATAATCTCCCACCATTGGTAGTTGTAAAGTAGAGTATGTATCAGAATGACCAGTGCTAATTCTGCCATAGTTGGCTCCCTTTTCAGGCAAGACCAATGCATACATGCTCATATAGGTGTTCTCCAGAAAACACACCAGCATGTGGCTTTTTGCAGTTCTTCTACCAAACTTAGTTAACAGATCATCCTTGAAAACACGTCTCTTCATATACATAGATGTACAGGCAGTCATGCACAATTTTCATGGAAACATTTCTAATTCTCAGTAAAGACAAGAACACACAAATAAATAAAAATTGGATTTGTCTTACCTTTTGGAAAGCAGGCAAAAGCTATACTGTTGGTGGGATAGTGTACCAAGTAACAGACTTGTACACTC